TAGCAAAAGGTTTCAATGTGGTAGTGTCCATGGATTTAAAAATGTGATAAATTTAAAAAAACATTTTCACCTTACATTTTGTAGATTTGGAAATCAAATTTTGTCAGTCAACACAAATACATAGTAAAAATTACAGGAAATTCTGGAGAAGTGGATTGGGATCGGACCTGGACTATGAGCAAAATTCTTTACGGATGATGGCAGGAATTTGCTAATGACGATTTCAGAAATATATGTGTGAATACAAATATAAAAGTTAAGAATACAGCATCAGAAAGCACTCTTAGCATGGGTGTGTGAAAGGAATTATGCAGTAATAGAAAAATTTATTACAAAATTTTGGCAGGTCTGAACTACCATGGGCTGTATATACTAAGAATTTGTTGGAGGTAGTCCATATAGGAATCCTAATGTTCCATCAGTTAATAAAACGTCAGCACTTAGTTTGGAGCTACAATTAGTTCTAGATTTTGCAGAGCATTTGAATGTACTGCAGGCAGAAAAGCTTTTGTTAAAGCTGAAGTCTCAGAAAATATTCAGCAAGCATTAAGGTACAAGGTAAGACCATTAAAAGGCCACTGTGTGGGTGACATGGTGGTCAGTGGTTAGCACTGCTGCCTTGCAGCACAGGGACCCAAGTTTGATTCCAGCCTTGGATGACTCTGTGCGTGGAGGTTGCATATTCTCCCTATGTCCATGTGGGTTGCCGCTGCGCACTCTGATTTCCTTCCACAGTGCAAAGATGCGCAGGTTAGGTGAATTCTATTCTATTCAATGAAAAACCAGTTTCAATCTGGTAGCTACTATAAGAGAGATATCAGTACTATCAAATCATAGAATTACTACAGTGCTGAAAGCTTAGGACCTTTGAGTCTGCATCGACCCTCTAAAGAGCATCCCACACAGACCCACTCCCCCACCCTAACCCTGTAAACCCCACAGTTAGTACAGCTAATAAGTGGATCTACACCAAAGAGGTGACCCCTGATGGGACTTATAAGGCTAGCAGTGCAAGGTTTTGAAGAAAAACTTGGGGATTTAGGATGTAAGGTAGATTCATCTATAGCTGGAAAACAATTGGAATTTTTTTGACTTTGTTAGCAATAAATGCTTGGGCATGTAGATCTATTGATGTTGAGCCTGCAGTTCTACAGGGAGATCAGCTCAAGAGGGAAGTGTCCCTTCATCCTCCAAATTAAGCAGGGACATTGTGGAAGTTAAATAAATGGCCTAAAGGATGCCTCTAGAGTTTAGTGTTCCTGTCTTATTTGAATTGAGTTGTCTTCAGTTAAAAGGACACCATTTGGATGGCATCGTGGGTCGGTCAGTGGTTAGTACTGCTGCTTCACAGCGCCAGGGACCTGGATTCAATTCCACCCTCAGGCGACTGGCTGTGTGGAGTTTGCACATTCTCCCGTGTCTGCGTGGTTTTTTTCCAGGTGCTCTAGTTTCCTCCCACAGTCCACAGATGTGCAGGTTAGGTGGATTGGCCATGGTAAATTGTCCATTGTGTCCAGGATGTGCAGGCTGGGCGGATTAGCCATGGGAAATGCAGGGTTACAGGGATAGGGTAGAGAGGGTGGGTCTGGGTGGTATGCTCTTCAGAGGGTCATTGTGGACTTGATAGGCACAATGACCTGCTTGCGCTGTCTAGGGATTCTGTGATTCTGTGCCATGTAGTACTTGGATCATAATGGGCAGCTTTCAGGTCTGCAGTCAGACATGTCCCTTAATGATCAGCATCCCAAGCTGATAACTGACTGTTTCTAAGCTCCTGGACTGCATGTGAACTGTGCCCCTGACTGACGGTCCTGAGAATCTCTGAATGACAGCAGCAACCCCTCATTGATTGGCCCAAAAACTGGCCTGTATCCAGATTCCAACGTGGCCATTTGGATGAATACATGTGCAGTGTGTTTACATGCAAGCAGATGTCACATGCTGTAATTGTTAAACTGGCATCTTGGTGTGCTGTACATCAAGATGCTGCTGACACCCAGACAGATTCTTACTGACAAACATCATTTGCAGCTTGACTGAATGCCTATGCGAAAGAGCTTGACTTTAACTGAACACTTGCTCTAACTGGCATGGCAGGCAAGACGAGGGAAGGCATAGATGCTGCAAACATGTAGGTAGGTGTTAAGAGAGCGGGCAAGCAGCCCTGAGATGCAACCATGCAATCCATGAGTGATTGTTCAAATGTGCAGAGTGTCCTCTCTGCAGCCTTTCAGTGCTAGTTTCTAGTGCACCCTGCAACATAATTTTGTACACCGTACAAGTCTATGAAACAGGTATCATGATGTTTGTTAAAGTTGGCAAGTGTTGGATGCCAACATCCATGGAGAATAGGTGCCCATGGTGCCCATGAACTGTTTGCAGCCAGCAGCGAACTGAAGTCACGTGTACTTGCTGTGATTTCCATCTCAATTCACGGCTTGTTTGGCATATTTAGTAAGATAGGAAGCTGAATATTAATGAGGTGAGTTGTGATATTAATAAGGTATTGAACAAGCTATAATAGCCCAGAATTGGCAATAGGGTTAACTTTAAGGGTTAACCCTAATCCTAGCACTAACCCTAACCCTATTGCTCACTATTGCCTAGTGAGAAACTCACCTCACCAGTCAGCAGAAGCATAAAAGATCACAGCTAGATGCTCCCAACATCGATATCAACTTTGCTGGACATCTCATACAATTCTGCCACAAATCCCACGGTAGACAAAGTTGCTCAGACTCCTATGAGATTCCACCCAATGGAGAGATTGTTGATTGAATACAGCAGTGCTTGTTTGGATGAAAGCATAGTATACCCTTGTATACAGAAAAAAAAGAGAATGACCTATGTGTTATTGCACTTTTCATGACCACCAGATATTAAGATTATGAATGTTACAACTTCAGTTGGACTGATGTATTTAAAAATGAATACCATTTATTGAAAAGTGTAGAATGGTAGTTAGTGTTGGTATATCAACACACGTACTTAACAGTAGATACGGTTCACAGTTTCTAATCTAAGACTTTGATCTTAGATGGGTTATTTTAAGATAGTCACTCAGAGAAGATTCTGTTTCAAGAGGACAAAGAAAACTTATTGTGTGAATAGTTATTTTCTATTAATTCTTTTACGCTGACACAGTATTTAAAGGAACAATAGCCAAACAAAACTCAACAAAAGTATATCATTTTAGTGGCATGGTTAGTTGGGTCCTGTAGTAAGCAGCTGTAACCTGAGGTTCAAGCTCTGATCACTTGCGTGAAAATGTTTCTTGAAACTCATTTCTAAATTCAACATTTTTCTTTATCAGATCTCTTTTCAATGAAGAAAAACATAATATTAAAGAGACAGTAGGAACTGCAGATGCTGGAGAATCTGAGATAACAAGTTACAGAGCTGGATGAACACAGCAGGCCAAGCAGCATCAGAGGAGCAGGA